TATTTCACTTCTCTAGACTTCAATTTCCTCGCCTGAAAAGTGGTATAATAATAACAACCTTTTAGTTTTGTTAAAAGGATTATATAAACAAATTTCTGTAAAGTGATTAACATTGTATGTGGCATATAATAGAACTTAAAATTATTATTAGGCATACAAATTATTAGGCATATATTGCTCACTTAAAAATTATGCCATGAGTGACCTATCCTGGAGGCAAACTTACCAGGACATGTAGTTAGATCATGCACTGGGACTCTGGGTTGGAATATCAGCTCAAGCATTTCTGTACAATGTGACCTATTTTGTGTAGTTGTTTCAAAGGTTAATGTTTGTAAAATGCCTGGCACAGCAAGTGCCATAAAGAGAGTACAAATAATTATACTATAGAGTTACAGTAACCAAAACAGCATGGTACTGGCATAAAAACAGACACGTAGAACAAGGGAAGAGAATACAGAAATAAATCCACACATTTATAGTGAACTTATTTTCAACAAAGTTACCAAGAACATACATTGGGGAAAAGTCTCTTTAATAAATGGTGCTGGGAAAACTGAATATCCACATGCAGAAAAATGAAACTAGACCCTTATCTCTCACCATATACAAAAATCAAATAAAAACGGGTTGAAGACTTAAATCTGAGGCCTGAAATTATGAAACTACTAAAAGAAAATGTTGAGGAAATGCTTCAGGATATTGGTCTGGGCAAGGACTTCTTTAATGAAACCCCCAAAGCACAGGCAATCATAGTAAAATTGGACAGATGGGATGACATCAAGCTAAAAGGCTTCTGCACAGCACAGAAAATATCAACAAAGTGAAAAGACAACCCACAGAATGGGAGAAAGTATTTACAAACTACCCATCTGACAAAGGATTAATAACTAGAATATATAAGGAACTCCAACAACTTAGTAGGAAAAAATCAAATAATCCAATTAAAAAATGGACAAAAGACCAGGCACGGTGGCTCACACATGTAATCCTATACTCTGGGAGGCCGAGACAAGAGGATCACTTGAGCCCAGGAGTTAGAGGCTGCAGTGAACTACGATGATGCCACAGCACTCTGGTCCCGGTGACAGAATGAGATCCTGTCTCAAAAAAAAAAAAAAAAAAAAAGGGGAAAAAAAATTAAAAAAAATTTTTTAAAAAAAAAAAAAAAAAAAGGGGCAAAAGATCTGAATAGACATTTCTAAAAAGAAGACATACAAATGGCCAACAGGTATATGATGGAAAAATGCTCAACATTATTAGTCATCAGAGAAATGCAAATCAAAACTATTTAATATAGTGAGATACCATCTCACCCCAGTTAGAATGGCTTTCATCAAAAAGGCAACAATGAATGCTAACAAGGATATGCAGAAAGGGGAGCCCTCGTACACTGTTGGTGGGAATGTAAATTAGTGCAATGACTATGGAGAACAGGATGGAGGTGCCTCAAAAAACTGAAACTATGAAAACAGAGCTACCATATGACCCAGCAATCCCACTGCTAGGTATATATCCAAAAGAAAGGAAATCAACATATCGAAATGATATCTGCACTCCTATGTTTATTGCAGCACTATTCGCAAAAGCCAGGATTTCGAATCAAACTAAGTGTCCATCAATGGATGAATGCATAAAGAAATTGTGTTACATGTACACAATGAAGTGTTATATAACCACAAAAAGCCATTTGCAACAATATGGATGGAACTGGAAAACATTACATTGAGTGAAATAAGCCAAGTACAGAAAAACAAATTTCACATGTTCTCATTCATATGTGGGAGCTAAATATTAAAACAATTGACCTCATAGAGATAGAGAGTAGAATGATGGTTACCAAAGGCTGGGAAGGGTAGCAGGGAGAATAAAGTGTGGATAGTTAATAGGTACAAAACTAGAATAAACAATATTTGATAGCAGAACAAAGGGACTATAATCAACTATAAGTTAGGGTATACTTTAAAATAACTAAAAAAGTGGAATTGGAATGTTCCTAACACAAAGAAATGATAAATGTTTGAGGTGATGGATGCCATAATTACCATGATTTGATTAATACACATTGTATGCCTGTATCAAAACATCACAGGTACCCTATGAACATATACAACTCTTATGTACCCATAATAATTAAAAATAAAAAAGAAGGTACAAAATGGATGTATTAATAGTTATTATTATGAGTGATAAAAGATGGGTCTAAAAACGTCTCTGGCCAGTGAAAAAATTACTGTAAGTATGAATGCACTAAGGATCTAATATATTTGAGGGAGCAGGGCTTTCTTGATCCAAAGAATAGAAAACTCAACAGGGATATTTGTCTTTTATTTATTTATTTTTTTGCTCCCTTTCCCCTGCCAGTAGGGGATATTTGTCTTGATCTATTTAAAGGGTTATCTTTATGAACAGAGACTGGTCTCAACAGTCCCAGAAGGCAGAGCTTTAATCCATGGATAGAAGTTAGAGAAAGATAGATTTGAGCCAAATCTAGGAACTTCCTAACAGCTAGAATTATTTGGAAGTAAAATGGTAATAATTTTTATTACTAAAGATGTTTAGATCAATTGATATTCAGGTGTGACTGGGAAGATCCAAATGATGCATTCAGGTAGAGAGGGTCATACTTACTACAAATCTAAGCAGATGGAAGCTAATGACACAGATGAAGTAGATGAAGGATCCTGGTAATGGAGTTTATTGGATTTTACCAGAATGATGGTGGAAGTACATAGGTTGGTAACAGAAATCTAATCTAACATACATATACAGCCTGTTGAACCAACCCTTGATTTCTTTAATCTTACCAGTAATATTGTGGATGGGATGTAGAAGATCTGTGTTGGAATGTTCCGTTCATAGAGTCTCTTGTTAAATTCTGTCACATAGTACTGCGCGGTCATCTGCCGCTCCACATCAGTGAAGTGGTGCCAGAGCCCCTTCTGCTCCTTGTATTCTTTCCCAACATATCTATGAACGGAGAATATCCACACAACAAAATGCACAAGTGATCTTACTTACCATTGAGTAAGAGGGAGGAACTCATAGGAGAGACGCAAAAAATGCTTGAAAGATGTTACTTTTTCTCTGCTTTAGACAGTCAATATTAATTATTTTGACTTATCTCATGATTCCAATAATTTTGCAAAAGCCCCCTGGACAATGGAACATAGCTCATGTTAGCTGGCCCAGAATGATATTGATTATAAAGGGAAAATGTCCACTTAATGAATGTAGAAGCTCTCCGGACCTCTGGGCAGACAAGGAGGTCGGCATGGTGTACTGGAATGTGCACGGACTCTGGAGTCAGATCTTTCACTCCCTGCAGTGTGGCTTCATACAGGTCAATTAATCAAGCTGAAGCCTTCTATATCCCCTCCTTTTATGATTACTTCATTTCTACAAACACTTATTTCCCATCAACACCTAATATGTGCGTAAAACTGTGATAGTCCTGAGTGTCTTGAAGAAAGTGTGAGGCAGGATTTGTATATTGCAAGGGCGTATAGCACAGTTGAAGAGGGAAGACACAAGGCAGTAAATGATTAAGTGTTGAAAGGAGTGAAACAGTGAGTACTACACTTTACTGTAGTTTATACTTGCTGTAAGCTGGTGTGAATTTATGAGTAATTTCACCTGTGCTCAGAGTGACCTCTGAGAATTAAAGGGAGTTGTCTGAGTCACAGACCTCGACCAGAAAAATCTCTCTCCAGAAATTTCTGAATCCAGTGTGATAATGGAATGCAAGAAGGCTGTGGTTTTGGTCATTCTGACTCCTGAGGATCAGAAAGGAAATTTGACAGTAGAGACTGTAGAAGAGAAGTCTACGCGGCATTGGAAAGCAGCCTGCAGAGATGCAGTTGTCCTAACAGGGGTATTCTACCAGTGCTTCAGGCAGTTCTGCTACGGAGAGAACCCAAGACCTGCAGAGCGTTTCAATCCTAATGGATTTGAGATGATGTGTCTAAAACATCCAGCAGAATAGCTGACATAACGTGGGTCCCCAGTACATGGTAACTGTTAGTAATTAATGAATGATGACGAAGAAGAGAAGAAATCTGAAAACACACATTTTGGCCGACTTTTCGGTCCTTTCAAAATCTCATAAGTAATTACTTAACAGAAGGACAAGTTCAGCTCCTTTTATATTAGTCATGCACGTGTTTTTAAGCAATACCTCCCCAGAATTTCTTCTTGATGAAGATGGTGAACCCAGAAAGCATTTCTTTGTCTGCCTTTCTTCTTCACAGCCAGGTAGTCCCCCAGATACACAGCAGTTTCCTGGGCTGTCCATAGTTCAGATTTTTTGGAATATTTTAACAAAAGAGCAGCTGGAAAAAGGTAAGATGAAAATGGATCTTATTTTCAAAAGGATGTTCATTCATGAATAGAGTTGAAGTGACACGAGCTCTAATCCACCTCACCTGAAACCTGCGGCTTCTTCATACATTTTCTCAAATGTTGGCCTAGTCTATCACCACGACATATTAAAATGCTAGTGACGAGTTACAAAAATGTGATGCTTTACAAATCACAGCATAGAGTCACAAAATCTCTTATTTGTGAAGGGAAGGGATAAAATAAAACCAGAGTATCTATATAAAAGTAGTAGAAAACAAAGGAATTTTTAAACCAGAAACCCCCAGAGACCACCTTGGGCCAGGTCATATAAGCTTGCAACTTCTTATTAAATATTATTATCCGAGGATCCCAAATAATAGAGGCTACGACCTATGCCAGATCACATAGGTAGAAATAAACTAAATAATTTTACTTGATAGACTCCTGGCAGCTCCAGGGATCCTAGATTGCAATCAAATTATATTTAAGTTGGGAAAGTTCAGAAATTACTTGAGAAAACATAGTTACTGTACAAAAGAGGCAAACTCAACTGAAAAAGGAAAAGATAAGAGGAAAAAGTAAGGGCAGTCTCCACCTTAAAGAAGGGACAAACAGTGCTAAGCAAGACAGCGCTGGGTGACACAATCTGAGAAGCTGGCACAAAGATGGAAGGTGAGCTGCTTGCATGCACCCAAGAGGGGTGATGAATTGAGAGAAGAAGAAAGGAGGAAAGGTATAATGGTTCTGTTTCTGCAACTTTTGGCCTTGCTTCTTCCAATGTGGTTTTTCATCCACAAATTGGTCCAGAATAATAATAAAGCAATTCCCTAACTCTAGGAAATACGACTTCAAAATTGCAGAATCTCACAGTAGTAAGGAAATCCCATTACTAGAAAATTTTCCTTTTAAAAACAAGGGTTTTTTTTGTTGTTGTTGTTGTTGTTATTGTTGCCCAGGGTGGCCTCAAACTCCTGGGCTCAAGCAATCCTCCTGCCTCAGCCTCCCTAGCAGCTGGGACTACAGGCACACAATACCGAGCCCAACCTGATCTGTATTTTAATCTGACTTCAAGGTGGCAGGCAAGACACTGGAATACTCTGAAGCAGAAGTTCTCAACACTGGCTTTAAACAGAATCACTGTGGAGCTCATAAGAAATACCAATGCTTAGACCCACACCCCAGACCCATCAAATGGAAATCTCTGCAGGGAGGCATCGGGAGCTTTAAAAAGCTCCCCAGGGGATGTTCAAGGTGACAGACGTGAGAGCTACTATTTAGTGTGCAGTGCTTAGCAATCCATGTAGTTCGTTTCTTCTGAGATGCACTTTGCTCGTTTTTCTCATTCAAGTAATTCTTCTGTATATTGGGAGGGCGTTATGATATGCCTCTCTGGGCTAAGACAAGAATCTCCTGTCTTCCTTCCAGCTTCTCTGCCATTTCTAAGCTGTGTTAGATGCATTGACTGCTCCGTGGCCCTAGCTTAGGCTCCCTGCCATGGGCCGTGACCTTGGGCTGTTCCTTGAGCAAGAAGGGGTCTGAATGTTTGTGTCCCCCCGCCCTAAATTCAAATGTTGAAAGCCCAACCCCACAAGGTGATGGTGCTAGGTAGGGGGTGGAAGGTTTGGGAGGTGATTAGGTCATGGGGGTGGAGGCTTCATGAATGGGATTAATGCCCTTAATAAGAGAAACCCCAGAGAAACCCCTTGCCCCTTCTACCATGTGAGGACAGAGAGAAAAGGTGCAGTCAATGTATGAAAAAGTGGGCCCTCACCAGACACCAAATCTGCTGGTACCTTGATCTTGGACTTCCAGCCTCCAGAATTTTGAGGAATTTCGTTGTTCACATGCTACCAAGTTGGGTATTTTGTTATAGCAGCATGAATGGACTAAGGCAAGGGGGCCCCTGACTGATACACTGGCTGGCAAGAAACCACTTAGGTGGACAGGTGTGAAAATCTCTGCCTTCTTGAAGGATGATAGTTAACTAGATCAAACTTCATCCCCCTAGAATGTGAATGGGAGAAAAATAGAGAGAAATCAGCTGGTTGGGAAAGAGAATCAAAGGAGACGACAGATGTGGAGTGGGTAATATGGTGTCCAGACTCTCAAAACCAGCTGGTTGGTCATGAGGACCTATGGAGAAGACAGAAGCTGAGTGGGTAAGGTGCCATCAGGAGCTGTTTTAAACCCTGAATGATGGCGGTGCCCGAGTCCTCCAAGCTCCCATCTCCCTCACTGCCTCATGGATCTTTAGATCAAACCTCTAAGTACATGAGGTAGCCTGAGGAAACCTCTGTTATTTGCAACCATTAAGGTCCGTTCCCCTCACCCAGAGTGAGGGAGGCCCCTGAAGCATACATTCCTCTGTGAGCTCACAAAGCACACCAGGGCTTGTGTCTTTCAGGAGCTTTAAGTGTTCTACAGAACAAGCTTTTTGCAACACAGATGCTTCTTGGGGGTGTACTGACGGGAAAGATTGTACTTACTGTGTGCTCGGTGGAGTTCGCTGGGCTTAAAAACTCCTGTATCCTCCAGCCTCTGAAACAGCCAGTCATGACTCACTCCTGCCAAGAGTTTTTCAAAGTCATCAGGCTGCAAGGTGCGAGCCTCAAGGATCTCCTGCTTTGTCTTTCCCGGCAGGGAAACAAAAGAACTCCCACTGGAATTCACATAGGACCACGGGCTTTCCCCCTCAGAAGAACCACTGGAAAATGCAGGTGATCTCAACCACCACGCCAAGGATGAGCTGGAGTTCTGACTACAGTTTAGCATGTTTCCAGGTTCGTTTCCCTCCTCGGTGGTAGTGCAGTCCTCATTGAGGATGGGGAAGAGAATGTTACTGCTCACAGAGGAATTGGGGGTCTCAGCACTCAGACCACGTGGCTGTCTCAGAGCACACAGTCTATGAGAGCCACATCCGCCCGTGGAGTGAACATCTGTGCTGCCAAGCACTTGGCGCTTCTCGTCCACAGTGGAGGCATCGGGGTCAATGCCCTGCTCTCTAACTGAACCACCACTCTTTCCTGAGTCAGGATTTTGAACAGGCCAATGAGGAGTGAAAGAGCTACATGCTGCCATTATGGAACTGTTGCCCAGAGCATTGTCCATGACTATATGAAAGTCAAAGGGTGCATCTTCTGTGCCTTCTGCTGTTTCTCCTTCTGGCCCAACCTGGGAGGGGCTACCTTTCCATGTAGGGCCTGTGCTTCTTTCATTGATTTCTTCTTCCTTCTCTTCCCTATGCCTGTCTTTGGCATCACAGTTAGTTTCTAGAAACTCATCAATTATTTCAAAGGTTTCTTCTTGAACTGAAGGATTTGTGACCATCTCCTTGAGCCCACCAGAATCAGAAGACCAAGAAGCAAAACCACATGAGGGTCTGAGGTGAGCAGAAGTAGTTCTCGGTCCAACATTTCTGACTTCCTGGATACCTTCTGGAGCTCCTTCCAACAGGCCTGCAGCAGATGCCAAGAATGTGCCTGTTGTATCGTGAGGAGGGAAGGTTGTCAAGGGCATGTGTTTGTGCAGTTGGCTTTGAGAAGACTCTGAATTGTCCTCCTGGAGAGAGAGACCACAAAGCTCTGAACACGACGAATGCACAGCTCTACCTTCCCTATCCTTCTCCAGCTCCTCCGACAAGGCAGTGGAACACTGCGTGTCCACAAGGTGTTCTTCTTTGCTAGGTTCTTTTCCTGGTGACCTATCATCAATGTGATAATTCACTTCCTCCCAGCTTGCAGAAGAACTAAACCCTGATAACTTGCTCCACGAGCTTGAGCTCTGGCTGTCACTCAGAGACTTGTTCAAAACAGCTCCCTCACCATAGCTGTGGCCTGGTGGCTCCGTCTCAGCCTCTACATCTTGGTCCAGGGACACTTGAAATGCATCAGAATGGGTCCAGTTTCTCCTTCCTACCCTTCTGAGTGTCTCCTGACTATTTTTAGCCATGTGAGAGGAAGCTATTCCCATACCTTTTTGAGAGCATGGTCTGTCTTGAGTAGTACTCACAGTATCTATGTTTTTTGTTTCTGTTTTTAGAGCAGTGATACAGATTCCTGTTTTTGCATCTTTCTGCTTATTTTTGCTGTCTCTACAAGTGCTTTCAAATACCTCACACACTGAAGTATGGTGCTGTGAATAGGTTTCAAGGATATTTTGGAAATCCACTCGCCCATGCAAGATGGGTTCATCCAACCTGCACTTGAAACTCTCTGGAACATAAGATCTGTCATCTAAATTTGAGAAGCTTTGAACTTGTAAATGGTCCTTCACCTGGGCAACCACAGACATGATTTCTTGAGACAAAGCTTCTCTGTCCTGACTTCTGGAGGAAGTACTGAAAGTGTACAGCTTCTCCATAGCTTCCCTACAGAGCTGACTGGCCGCACAGACTGTCCCTGTGTCCCCATGGAGTCTTCTGTGCACCGTGGTGAGACCAAAAGCAGCTTTGACAAAACTGTGAAGTTCCTGTTTTCCGGTAACAGGCTCATCTCTCCTCTTGGTGAGGAGGCCGATTTCAAAGGCCTCTTTGGCTTCAGACAGATACAAATTTTTCATTTCTGGAGGACAGTCATTAGAACTACTGTATGACAACAAGCACGTGCCTCGGATATTCTGGGGAAAATACCAAATACAAAATCAGATATTGAATTGGAGACTGGAAGTGAATCAGGACAAACTTTTCATTCCTGGAGGACAGTCATTTGAAATATTGTAGGAAAGTAGACACATGCCACTGATATTCTAAGGAAAACACAAGCAAACATTGAGTTGAGGACCTGAGGTCCTTTTGGTGAATCAGGAGGGGCTGGAATGTGATTGGTTGGCATGAAGGGATAAGAAATTAGCTTCCACTACCATCCTACTATAGCCCTGACACTTGCTGATTAAAGATGGTAGATCTGTGATTGTTGCTATTATTAGTTTTAGTGGAGTCTGTACCTGGGAATGGACACAATAAGTTTTTCTATGCAAATAAAGTTGCTATATATGAACACATCATTCATTTAATAGTCAAAACAATAGAGTAGTGGTTTCCAAATCCACCTGTGCATTTGAATCAACTGGGCAATATTCCAAAATTAAAGATTTCTAAAGTCCCAGAGATTTGCATTTGGTGGGTCTAGAGTAGTGCACAGAAACAGGCATTTGAAAAGGCTCCTTGAGTGATTCTCTGTACACCAGGCTTGGGAACCATTGCTCTAGAATAGTCGACATTCTGCCCTCGGGCTGAATTAACTTAGCTCCCACCAGGACGTTGCCATTCTGGCTGATAAAACTTTTCCATAGGTGGAGTCTCATCACCTTTGCCAACAATGAGGCACAAATCCTACTTTCGGGTTGGACCTCCTCCCCCTGGTCACATCAGAGAGCACTCTGGGGAGAGGTACTATGAAGGGCTGACTCTGTTTACCACAGCTGTGAGCACGAAGAGGGGCGTGTAGGCGCTGAAGGCAGCCGCCAGCTTGCAGGCTTCTGCGGCCGACAGCAGCTGGTGGTCAAACTCCTTCAGCAGGCCCTGTGACAAAACAGGAAGCCAAGTGGGAGGGTGATAATTAATTACCCAGTAGCAAAAACCAGGCTATGAAATTCCTTTGCTTTTCTTTTAAGATTCCAGGGGACCCCTTGCTCCTCAGCCCAACCCGTTTGGAACAGTGTCAAGAAAAAGTAGGTCTAAAAATCCCCCGTGTTGACTGTCCTTTTCCCCAGCACACACACACTCCATCCTGCACCCACACCCGAGGGACGGCCTAATATGAGCAAATCTTTGTCATGCCTGCCCGTGCAGAATAATTCACACGAGCTTCTTTGGAGGATGGGGGCAGTTCCTTGTTTACAGGATTTCTGCACATTTTGCAGCCAGATTGATAATTTTTGCATTGCTCTTGGCAAAGAGTCCTCTCCTTTATGATTTCAAAGCAATTAGGATTAACTAACTCATTCTAGAAATATGTATCGAGTACCTCCATGTGCCAGGTCTGTTCTAGACACAGGAGAGGTAGCAGACAGTGCACCTGAAATGAGCTTTCTTTCTGTTGAGGGGAGAGATGGATCAGTCAACATACAAAATAAGTAAAATGTATAGTATTTGAGATGATGATAAGTGTTCTGGAGAGAAATTAAGTGGAGAAGGAGTTAGGGAGGTCCAGGGTGGCAAGGAAGTTTGCAATTTTAAACAGTGACAACTTCGATGAACAAGGGCCATGACCGTCATCTTAGATTCAGATTACTAGCAGCAAGCTGTACATATTCCTTTGCTACACTCATTAGTATGGAGCACAGATACTGTTGCCACTTGGGGTATTTCATAAAAATGGCAATATAGATGATAATAATAAAAACCTCAATTTCAGTGCAGTGTGGAGAGCCCTTAAACACCTTTGCCACTTCTCTGGGCCAGAGACCTGGGCTCTAGTCCTAGACCTCTCTCTTACCGGTTGTGTAAACTGCAGAAATTACTTAGTAGTTCTCTGCACTACATTTTATTTTTCTCTAGAATGGAAATGACACAGTTTGCTCTACCTATTTCATAGTTTTATGTGGAGACAAACACTTTTTTGAGTTGTAAAGTCATACATAAATATTAGTAACCATTATTATCAAGAAAAAGAGCCTGATGCTCTGATTTCAAGAGATGGTGATTAAAGTTTTTTTTTTGGAGACAGAGTCTTACTCTTTTGCCCGGGCTAGAATGCCATGGCGTCATCCTAGCTCACAGCAACCTCAAACTCCTGGGCTCAAGCGATCCTCCTGCCTCAGCCTCCCGAGTAGCTGGGACTACAGGCATGCGCCACCATGTCCGGCTAATTTTTTCTATATATTTTTAGTTGTCCAATTAATTTCTTTCTATTTTTAGTAGAGAAGGGGTCTCGCTCTTGCTCAGGCTGGTTTCGAACTCCTGAGCTCAAACAATCTGCCCGCCTCGGCCTCCCAGAGTGCTAGGATTACAGGCATGAGCCACCACGCCCGGCCAATTAAAGTTTTAAAATTATTGTCGCTTTATCATTGAGATGGCCCATGTTTAGAAACTGAATTTTGATAACTTTAAAGGAACTCAGGGGCTCAACACTGCATTGGTGATATTCATTCATTCGCCAGTAACTTTCAACCACCCCTGTGTGTTTGGTACCGTGCTAGCTGCTGGGATAAGAAAGCCAGAGAGGATGCCACGGAAGCCATCCCCAGGATCGTTAACATTAATCTAGGAGGGGAGACACTGTGCTCCCCGAGGTCCAATCTCCTGAGAAAGATCGACTAACCACCAAGGATAACGTTGACAGTTTTCTAGGTGATGTCACTCAGCACCATGTTTTTGACAAATGATAATTACCAAGTTAACTTGTGGATTGTCTTTAAACTTTCCGTAATCTGTCTTGCTCATGGAAACAAAGATGTCTGCCAGTATACCTAGTGACGTGGAAATGCCCTATGAGGAAAACACAAACAAATCACAGGTCGAGAATTCATGGTAGATTATTGCTCTTGTCTCATGGCCTGAAAGCAATGATTATCCCTCCGTAGGAACTATTTGCCTATTATTATTTTTATTACTATGGCACTAGAAATACTTTTTAAAAAATTGACACACAATAAGTGTCCATAGTTATGGAGTACAATGGGATGTTTTGATACACATATACATTATGTAATGATCAATACCCCAATTTGGGGGTACTTTTAAACTGGATGCCACGGGGCTTGAAAGATCATCACATCCTAGGGTACACGAGCCTAATGTAAACACAGCTACTTCTTAGTTGGGTTTCACTGATCATCAACACTGACTTGTCCATACTCCTAGGCCTGAGTAATTGGCCCTCACATTCTATCCGCGCTGTAAAAGGATCATAGCAGCAACACTGCTGACATAGCTCAGGAAAATGTAATAACCTAATGCTTCAGATAATGAGAATATTTCCACAGAATTATAGCAAATAAAAATGTCCAGCAGGAAAGCAAATGATGCTTCTCAATTTCTTGAATAAAGATGCTACATAAATAATTCATTGAAGTCCTTGCCCATTCAACTCCAGAAAAATTATTTTACATAAAAGCAACTTGGCCATCTCAACTTTGCTATGAAATCAGGTATAGGCTAACTATTAATATATAATAAAATAAATAGATGAATGGACCAATAGACAGAAATATATACACAGATAATTACACATGATTACAGAAACACCATAAATATGCCAAGAGTCTAGCTGTGAGTAAGGATGAAGCAAGACACAGAAGGAAGTTACCAAACGGTCCTGGTCCTATGCTCATGTAGAATAAATAAAACTAGGGTAGATAAAATAGAGAAATGATAAACTGATTGTGTCACAGGGACATAATCATCCAAAGACAAATATAGGAAAGGAGAAAAAGAAGCACTAGACAAACAACCTTTTTATCTGGCCGGGGAAGGGTCAAATATCCCACGATGGAAGCCCATATTAACTCTGCTGCTTCATACCACATCCCTGGGAAAAAAGGAGGAGAGAGAGACAGGGGAGAACAGCTAGTATCTGCATCATTGTGTTAGAAAATACCTTTGAAAACTAATACAGAAAGAAGATTCACTGGATTCTGTTAGAAAAACTTAGGGCTGGATTAGATTGACACCCAGCAATCTGTTTTCCCAATTGTTTTAATACAGATAGCTTTTCTGTTTCACTGGAAAACAGTAAGAATTATTATATTTTATGTGTAATATACATTAATGTATGTTATATATAAATAGTTATTTCCATTATTTATAAGAATAATAATTGCCACCTTCTGTTAAAAATTTTCAAACCATTTAGTTTGCACTTTAAAGTATTATTAAGGTTCTATAAACTTAAAAAATTCATGAATACCCCAAGGAATGAATGAGTAATGTGTCATGGCAGGTTTAGAATAAGATGTCACTGCATCACATGGAGTCCTGCTGAACTGGGTCAGATGCTGGAAATAATATCCAGAACCCTACGGTTCATAGCTACAGTATACAACTTTGAATTTCTCCAACAAAACTCAATAGAAAAAATATATTATTTTATTAATATTCATAATGCTCCTAGAATCTTAAATGTCATTTTCTTTTTGATGAATACACCAAGGCAATTGGGGATTAACAGTTTTAGCCAGATACAATAAGAAAATTCCATAGTAAAATTTTGTAGCCAGATGTTGTAAATGAGCCTTGAGAGGAACAAACGTTAGACGACAATACCTAGCTTTTGCAGAATCTGCCCTCTGATCTGTATGCAGACTGACTGCACCAGGACCTTGTCACTTTCATTTCTGTAAAGCCAGCTACCTAAAATAAAAGAGAGGAAAAATGGCCTTAAAGTATTAAAGACATAGCCCGGTACAGTAAAACTATATAAAAGCGTTCATGAGCACACATGATATCAATTTGTGAGACAATCTCATCTCTTGATTTAGACTAAGGTCCAAGTCCAAGTCCAGCTCTGCAGGAACTGACTCCTGTCTGGTCTCCAACTCTCCCCGTTGCCAGCTGTGCTCAGTCCATGCTGGCATCATTTGTGTTCCTTATAATAGTAGTGGTCTCTTGCTTCATGACATCTGCACGTACTGCTCCCCCTGCCTGGGGCTCAGCTTCAATGCTATTCCCTCGAAGGCCTCCCCAGATAATTGTATTTTATTTATTTATTTTTGAGACAGAGTCTCACTCTGTTGCCCAGGCTAGATTTCAATGGTGTCATCATAGCTCACTGCAACCTCAAACTCCTGGGCTCAAGCGATCCTCCTGCCTTGGCCTCCCCAGTAGCTGAGACTACAGGCATATGCCACCACGTCCAGCTAATTTTTCTATTTTTAGTAGTGATGGAGTCTTGCTCTTGCTCAGGCTGGTCTTGAACTCCTGGTCTCAAGCCATCCTCCTGCCTCAGCCTCCCAAAGTGCTAGGATTACAGGTGTGAACCCCTGCACCCGGCCTCCCAGATTAGTTTATCTACAGTATTATGTCTACTGTCTTGTGATAGCCTCAAGAAGAATGGGATCAATCCCACCTGCCCCACATTGGTTTGGGTGTCAAAACTGATGACTCCACACACCCATCAAGAGGATATGAAAAGATTTATTGCCCATATAATGAGACTTTCTAGGGAGAACAGGGCTGGCACCTAAGTTGGTCCTTTTGACTTGAACATAGGGAGTGGTGAGTGGCTTTGGTTTTCATTGTGAATAGAGTGTGTGGATGGGGTAAAATTTCCTGTATGCTGGGCTTGGGTTTGTGGATGAATGGATTTCTTTTTCCTTTTTCTTTCTCTTTCTTTTTTTTTTAAATCAGTCTGTCCAGTGGGGGCGGGGAGGGGGGGATAAGAGGAGGCCGGGCCTGAACACGGCCAGTGGTCAAACATCAAAAATAGAGTCAGACTCTTTATTTATATACACACCCCCTCATTATCCTCTGTCATATCACCCTCTTTATTTTCTTCCTAGCTTTTAGTCCATGTGTGTGTGTGTGTGTGTGTGTGTGCGTGTGTGTGTGTGTGTGCAGTGTAGAAGATGGCAAGGGTGCATACCACAGTTTAGTGATGTCAGCCACAAAGGAGGGGTGTGTGATTAATATTTGTATTCCAAACTGTCTCCCCACTGGAAATGTCCACATGCTTCAAAGAGCTTGGGACCTTATATCCAAGCATACTGAGCTTAAGAGTCTAATAGAAATTGTGCTCAACTTATCAGGAAACTTGTTGATGTGAGTGCCCAGAAATTCAGACAAGATACCAAAGGCTTAAATTATTTGTTACCCAACTATTAGAACTTGCTTCCTTTCATATATGATTAAATGTTGAAAGGAAATCCATTTCAAAATAAATTCTTGTTAAAGTTCTTATGTCGTAAAATCGAATTTATTTTTCAAACAATTTAAATACATAAAGCCATAAGCATACTCTTGTGAACTTAGATGTTTTTATTCCAATCATGATTCTTTTAAAAAATATTTTCATTACTACATAATATGTGTGCATATTTATGTGTACATGTGATATTTTGTTAAGTGCCTAGAATGTATAATGATCGAGTCGGGTTATTTAGAATATCCATCAACCTGAGTATTCATTATTTCTGTATGTTGGGAACATTTCAAGTTCTCTCTTCTAGCTATTTTGAATTATATAGCACATTGTTGTTAGGTATAGTCACCCTGCTCTGCTATTCAACATTAGAACTTATTCCTTCTATCTAACTATGGGTTTGTACCCATTAGCCAACTTCTCTTTATCCCCCTGCCTCACATCCTTCCCAGCCTTGGGGAACTATCATTCTACTCTGCCTCCATGAGATCAACTCGTTCAGCTCCCACATGAGTGAGAACATGAGATTATTTGTCTGTGCCTGGTTTATTTCACTTAACATAATGACATACAATTCTACCTCTGTTGCTGCAAATGGCAGGATTTCATTCTTTTTAAGCCAAATACTATGTCGTTAATATATATACACCACATTTTCTTTATTCATTCACTCATTGATGGACACTTAGGTTGATTCCATGTCTTTGCTATTACAAATAGCGCTGCAATAAACATGGGGATGCAGGTATCCCTTTGATACACTGATTTCCTTTCTTTTGGATAAATTCCCAGTAGTGGAATTACTGGATCATATGGTCATTCGATTTTGAGTTTTTTGAGAAATATGGTGCTACTAATTTACATAGAATGAGTAGGGGAGAATTCTCTCCTCTTCAATTTTTTGGAATATTTTGAGGGGAACTGGTATTAGTTCTTCTGTATATGTTTGGTAGAATTGGGCAGTGAAGCCATCTGGTCCTGGGCTTTTCTTTGTTGGGAGTCTTTTTATTACTGATTCAATCTCATTATTCATTATCAGTCTGTTCACATTTTCTATGAAGAGACTTCAAAAAGTTCATGGAAAAATGGAATTAAAAGATAAAAATAAAACATATAAACTTTATTTCTTAACATAAGCTCTATCAAGTTCAAGACACTTCTGTGAGTGATATACCAGCCATTCATTCCATCCCTAAAGAAGTGGGGGTCCTGGGAGGTTAACCATGTCAATGCAGCCCTTTCTACATTAACTGAAAAAAAAATGGGTGCCTTTTAAAGATTTTTTTTAAGATTAGGAAACAAAAAGAAGCCATAGGGAGCCAAATCAGGACTACAAGGTAGATGCCTAATGATTATCCATTGAAAGTCTCACAAAACTGCCCTGTTTGATGAGGGGAATGAGCGGGAGCATTGCTAAGGTGGAGAAGGACTCTCTGATGAAGATTTCCCAGGCAATTTTCTGCCAAAGCTTTGGCTGACTTTCTCAAAACACTCTCATGATACACAGATGTCATCATTCTTTGGCCCTCCAGAAAGTCAACAAACATGATGCCTCGAGCATGCCCCTAAACTGCTGACATGACTGTTGCTCTTGACCTGTCTGCGTCTCCTGTGACTGGACACGTCCACTTCTCGGTGGCCGCTGCTTTCACTGTGTTTTGTCTTCAGGATCACACTGGTAAAGCCATATTTCATTTCCTGTTATAACTCTTCAAGGAAATGCCTCAAAATCTTGATCCGACTTGTTTAAAATTTCCATGGAAAGCTCTACCTTGTCTGCAGCTGATCTGGGTTCAGTGGTTTTGGCACCCAGAGTGGAAAGTTGGCTCAGCTTTAATTTTTCAGTCAGAATCATGTAAGCTGAACCAACTGAGATGTCCACGGTGTTGGCTATTTTATGTGCCGTTAATCACTGGTCCTCTTCGATTAGGAAATGAGCAAGATTTTTTCCTCGTAAGTTGACGTGGACAGTGGACGTGGCCTGTTCATCTTCAACGTCGTCTCATCCCTTTCCAATCACAGTTTTTCTAAGGGCTGCTACTGAGCCCTTTCTGAGGCCCACAGAATTTCCCACCTTGACAACTATTGTCCCTTAGAGAACATATTCTATAACGAAGCAGGCAAATATTAGACACCTTGCTTGTTTTTTAAAGTAGAGAAGACAGAGACACAGAGAAGTAAGCTGCTTGATTAAAGTCACTTCACTCATCAGTGGCAGAGCCACCGAACATTCAGTGCATAGTAAGTATTAAGTCACTGAGTTGTTACTAAATTAGAACTCTGGCAGGGAATGAGGGTAAAGCTCACTGTGAGATATGGAAGGACCTACCTGTTGCTCCATTGTTGCTTATCAGACTGCTCAGAATATACTCTGCTTTCAAAAGTTTCCCTGAAAAGAAGAGACCCAATGTCACATAATAGTTCTGAACAAGTACTTTATTACAAGTTGTTTATGCTCCAAGGTTGACATACTGTGACAGTGACCATAACCACTCTTGAAAACATTCTATTTTTAAAACTTAAAATCAATCACGACATCATATATAAAACTCGAAAAGAAAGATGAAGTTTTCAGGAGTTGGTAAGGTGGGGAGCTGTATGGTATCTGAAATGGGAATTAAATTCATACTTGTGTATGTGTGTATGTGTGTGTGTATGACTAATTCATTTGTGTAGAGCAGGGCTTGAGTAGTAGAGCCAAACTTCCGTAAAAGGCTATGTCTCCTCTCTGTGAAAGCTACACCTCAAGATGCGGAATACAGTTGCCCATGAACAGGACTATTTACAGAGTTATCAGGAAGGAATTTGGAGGTGGCGAGTGAGGAGATTCCTGCTCAACTTTTTACTTGTTTTGGTTTCCACCACATAGGAAGGGATTAATCTACAGGCAGCTGCTGTCCATAAGTAGGAAATGCAATCATTTATCCTTTGCCCAACCATTCCTCCTTCCAGGTGTCTCTAAGCCCTGTATGATCTGGCTCCTGGCGACTTCTTTGACATTATCTCTATTTTTTTCCCTCCCTCCCCTCAGTCACAGTGGCCTCCTTACTGTCCTTTGAACCAGCCAGACTTATTCCCACATACAGAGGTTTATACTTACAAATATTTTAGTTTGTAATGCTTTTATCCCAAATATCTCCAAAGCTTGCTTCCTTCCTCTTCAGGTCTTTGCTCACCTGTCACTGTCTCCTAAGACCTTCCCTGACCATTATTTTAAATTACACACATAGACATACCCTGGCTGTGATAGATTGTGTTTCCAAAAAAGACCACACCAATATCTTCCATCCCACATGCTCTTCTGTAATGCGACCTTGTCACATCTGCATCAGGAACTGGGATCTAGAGTTTATGTCCCCTCTCCTTGAGCGTGAATTGGCCCTGTGACCTGTTTTGGCCCATGGGATGCGGCAGAAATGACACGGTGGTACCTTTCTCACCTGGGCATTAGGAGATCTGTAACTTCTACTTTCGTGTCTTGGAACCCAGCCCAGTGCTCTGAGAAAGCTGAGGCAGCCACATGAAGGGGCCCATGCGGAAGAGAACTGAGGCCCTGGCCTAGCTGGCAGCCTGGACCTGTCTCCCCACTAGAATGTAAACCTCATGACAGTACAGGGTTTTGTCCATTTTGATCACTGCTCTGTTCCAGCAGCAGATAATAAATATTTGTCATTTATCCAAACAAACATCTGAATTGTGCCGGGACTGTGCTCAGAGCTGGAGACTGAATAATAAACAAGACAAAGCCCCTGTCTTCAAGGTAATAATAATAATAATAGCTACCATTTATTAAGCATTTACTCTGTGGTGGACATTGTTCTGAACTATGACTAGGTACTCCATTACCTTCATTTCACAGACATAGAAATGGACCATACAGAGGCTAAGCCACATGACCAGAAGACATGAGGCAAGGCAGCCTGCTGTGAGTCCCAGCTCTCACTGTGCCACTCTGCTTCCCAGAGTGACCAGGACTTCAGATTAGTTGTCCAGCACATTTTTGTAGGGCACCGTCTTCAGCCATGCAGGATATAATTTTTTTGCTCACATTCTCTTTCTGTCCTCAAAGGAAGGAACATGCAACACAAAGCAACCTTTCTGCACTTCTTAGAGTTTCCTACCTTCTCTGCTTCCCTTACCTAATTTTTTAAAAGTTGCTGTGCTCCTTCCTTCCTTCTTTCTTTCCTTCCTCCCTCCCTTTCCTTCTTTCCTATCTTACTCCTTCTCTGTTTTAAAACCTTATCGTTTTACTATTTTTTGATATTTATTTATGGGTCTGTTTCCTCCCCCAGCTGGAACCACTTAAAGATCATGAACCATATCTTGATCATCTTTGTGACTATCCCCAAGGCCTAATGCAATTCTTGGCTTATAGCTTTCAACATATATTTGAAAGAAACAAAAGAAAAGAAAGAAAGAAAGAAAAAAAGAAAGAGAAAGGAGGAAAGGAAGGAAGGAAGGAAAGAAAGAAAGAAAGAGAGAGAGGGAGGAGGGAGGGGAAATAATAGAAAAGGAAAAAAAAAGAAAACCAGGATATGAAATCATGGCTCAGGTTCTGATAACATTTACTCATACCAATGTCTTTAGAAAAAGAGAAATAGAATGAAATACCTGCATGAATAAATTACATCAATGCAATCTCTTTTCTTAAAAGTTATATTCTCTAATTAGGTTTTGTTGATATATAAGAATGGGCATTTTAAAATTATTGACCTTGTAGTCAACCAACCTTGCTGAATCTCTTAATTCCAACAATTAATCTGTGGATTTCTTGGAGTATTCTATGTGCACACTCATATCATCTACAAATAATGATAATTTTGTTCATTCATTTCTAATTTTTATAGCTTTTATTTCTTTTTCTTTCCTTATTGCTTTGGGAGGACTTCTGGGTCAGTATCAAAGAGAAGTGGTAAGTAAGGTGCATTTTTTTCTCTAGCTGACTTTGCAAGGAATCCTTACAATCTTTCATGATTAGTTTTGCTGGAGTTTTTCAGTTGCTTCCTTTTATTAGGTTAATTAATTGCTTGAGCCCAGGAGTTTGAGGATGCAGTGAGCTAGGCTGATGCCACGGCACTCTAGCCCAGGCAACAGAGCAAGACTCTGCCTCAAAAAAAAAAAAAGAAAGAAAGTGAATGAACTTGGGCTTTTGAACAGTTAACCTCCACAAGCCAGTGTCTCCCATGTCCTGTCTCTGTCCCTCTCTGCATTCTGCAATTGTCGCGTTTCCTATAGTTAGTACAGTTCCTTTTCAAAGGAATTGAAGTCAAGAGATTTTAAGCTCTTAAAGATCAGAGTTATTAAAATAATAGCAATAGCTAAAACCAATCAAAATAAAAAAAAAAAGAAACGAGCCAGTCCTGTTTCTGGGAGGGGCAACTCGCTTTCTCTTTTCCCCCTTTAGTCTTTCACTTCTTGGAAATGAGAAGAGCAGGCTGCACATTTCTAAATCTAATGCTTATTGGCAATTTAAATAATTTGAGAATTCTATGGAAGTGGACTTCGCTGCAATGCGTCGCAAGCCCCCTCTCCCCTCTGACCCCCTCTGCATCACGTCTTAAGTTAGAATGTCAGCCTCGTTTTCATCGCATTCACAGTGATGGGAGGAAGAAAGAAAGATACTTTAAGACCTAATCAGGTACTGTACCGGTGTTCTGAATGATGCAAAAAAAACCCCTCAAATTACTTCAGTGGGTTTGTCAGCTCTATTGTTGGCTTAGTCAAGTGGCCCTACAGAAAGGAGACAGGAGACCTGAGAGAAAATAGTAGAGTTCTAATCTGCTTTTTAAAGGCTCTTGGTCAGAAGTATAGCGATTCAGATACCCCTGTTTGAAAGCAGCAGGACAGATTTGTTAGAAGACAAAAGCTCCAATTAGTATTTTCCACACCCTTTCACAATTTTCTCGACTGCTTTTGGCTCTGAAACCCTTTATGCCAGGCCTTTGTGCGGGCACAGGCGGGTGGAGGGGCGGGCGGCCAGGCCGGCGCGGGGAGGTGGCACCGGGGTGCCCGCGGGGGTCGCGCAGCTCAGGCCCGGCGGCCCGCGGCAGGGGCCTACCTGAGTTGGCGGCGACGCGGGCTTGGCGAATGACCACCTGCGGGGCGATGGGCGTCGCGGGCTGCAGCGTGTGCAGACCCTTGGCGACCTGCAGCAGCGCCGCGGAGACGTCGCGCCCGTAGAGACACCGGTCCAGCAGGAACACCACGGCGGCCGCGGCCACGCAGTCCCGGGCGCGGATGGAGGCCCGCAGAGTCGCCTGCAGCGCGCGCGGCCACCGAGGGGACCAGCGAGGGAGAGAAGGCAGGTTTAGAGCCAAGCTTAGCCTTTTAGGAACTTTAGTTACAACAACAACAGTGAAACCCACAGCGTGGGGGAGAAAAACAGTTTATTAGACGACTGAATCTAAAGAAAGTCCAGTTCAATTGGGGGGTGTTTCCTTCATTCTGTTTCTCCCATTCCGTTTCTAAAATTATGCAAGTGATCAAGGCATATTTCCTGTTGTTAAAAATTCAAACAAAAATATATAGGTGGGAATTAAAAGTTCCCCACAGTTTCCCTTGTACTGTTTCATTCCCTCCTCCCCCAGTCTTATGAGTCTCACTCTCTGATAACGGTTTGGGAGAGAGTCTTCCAGAACTTCTGCCCTTTTATCTATACCTAGGCATGAACTGATTCCGTGTCTGGCTTTGCGCTCTGCTTCCTACCTGCCTTTCTCTCTCTCTCTCTCTCTCTCTCTCTCTCTCTCTCTCTCCAGCCTTGGGTGGTTTCTTTCCATGCAATAAGATGATCAGTATTCCATCACATTACCAGACTTTAAACTGTACTATAGTTTACTATAACTGTAACTATAGCAATCAAAACAGCATGGTATTGGTACAAAAATAGAAACATAGACCAATGGAAAAGAACAGAGAACTCAGATATAAAACTATCTACCTGGCCGGGCGCGTGGCTCACGCCTGTAATCCTAGCACTCTGGGAGGCCAAGGCGGGTGGATCGTTTGAGCTCAGGAGTTTGAGACCAGCCTGAGCAAGAGCGAGACCCCATCTCTACCAAAAATAGAAAGAAATTAATTGGACAGCTAAAAATACATAGAAAAAATTAGTCGGGCATGGTGGCACATGCCTGTAGTCCCAGCTACTCGGGAGGCTGAGGCAGGAGGATCGCTTGAGCCCAGAAGTTTGAGGTTGCTGTGAGGTAGGCTGATGCCACGGCACTCTAGCCCGGGCAACACAATGAGACTCTGCCTCAAAAAACAAAACAAAACAAAACAAAAAACTATCTACCTACAACCAACTGATCTTCGACAAAGCAGACACAACATACGCTGGGGAAAGGAAGCTTTATTCAATATATGGTGCTGGGAAAACTGGATAGCCATGTGCAGAAGAGTGAATTAGGATCCCTATCTCTCACCATTTACAAAAATCAACTCAAGATGGATAAAAGACTTAAATGTAAGGCATGAAACCACCCAAGGTTGGGGAAGAACCACCTGAAATGAGTACAGGAAACATCCTGATGTTTTCATCAGCCAGAATAGAAAATCCTGTCATTCACAGGGAATGGGGTAGAACATTCAGAGGGTATTGCTTTAGTAGAGATATAAAATTAGCCTTAATCTGTTGTCCAACTCTGAAAGTTCAGAAGTAAGCTTCAGAAAGATCGAACTATTTCCTAATTTGACTGCATCCCAGAATAAAGCTCAAGAATATGTCCCACCAAGTATCTGCCATCCAATAAGGTGAAATTTATAATATCTGGCATCCGTTAAAAAATTGCCAGGCATGAAAGAAGCCCATGTTGCACATAAAAAGAAATCCATAGAAAGTGGCCCAAAATGACAGTTATAACTGTATTTTTTACGTTCAAGAAGGTAGAGTAAATATTAGGTATATGAAGTAGAGACATGGAAGATATAAAAAATGATCTAAATCAAACTTTTAGAGATTAAAAAAATACAATGTCTCAGATGAAACCACAGGTATCGGGGTTTGTTTCCTGGCTCCACCATTTATTTGCCATGGAAAGTTATTTTACCTCTCCGGTCTCAGTGACCTCATGTGTGAAACGTGGATAATATCTATCTGCAATGCTGTTTCGGGATTAGAGGACGTGTGGGTCGAATGCTCAGCACTGAGCCTGGCAAATGGTGAGCGCTTAATAAATGTCGTGGAACACCAAGAAGAAAACAGAAAAAAAGAAATCAGTCATTCATTCCCACTCATGTGACAAAATGTCAACAACAGGCAAAGACAAGCTCCCCAAATTGGTTTCAGTGGAATTCTCAGTCGAATAAAACAGAAGGAATGGGTCACACATATAACATCGATAAGGCTTATCTCAGAAAACGGCCAGACCTCTGATTTCTTAAAATCCCTTTCTTCTCTTCACCAACTCTGAGGATTGATGGTATTGGAAAGAGGAAGAAAGGGGAAATGAACAGGCTCCATGGCACTTGGAAAGCTGGTTGGAAGGGGCCTTCTAAGCACGCACGTGCGAGCTGCTCTTGGCCGGTGCCAATGGAGAAATCACTCCCGGAGCACCTGTAAACTGATGCCGCAAACAGCCCATTCTGCATCCTGCACGAACACACCATATATTTGAGTGAAGAACATTGCCTAATCTATTTTCCCCCCTTCTACTCTTAATGGATTGGAGCACAAAAGCCTGAGAGAGGGTGACCTGTCAGACAAAAGGGCCTTTGAGTTCCTTGGAAAAGTAGACTTGGAGGAGGATGGAAGGAATCCAAGTGGCCCTATTATTTCCACTTGCACTAATTAGACATTTTTCTGTCAGCTATTGAGCACTGCTGAGAGGCCAAACTCACTGAATTCATTTCTAAAGTGTTTACAGAAGTTTGCATCTGTTTGTGTCTCTTCAGGAGGAAAATAAGCACTTCAATAGCATTGTGGAAAATCTAAACGAAGCATCCTATTCTGGAGGGCCTGGCAGTCCCGCAGCTGCGTAATTTAACCCTGTTCAGGGCCCAGGCCTCTCGCATCTCTCTCCAAAACCTAACGATGCAAAATTCGGAGAAGTCAACTTGCAAGAATCTTTCCTTTCTTTTCGTTTTCTTTTCGCTCCCTCTTTTGAACCGGCCGCATGCTGTGCGCTACATGCGGATTTAGGTGGGTGTCGTTCTTCCATCCCCTCTCTCGTGTCCCCTACCAGCACTCTGAGAAATTAATACCCACTTTCATTTGCTGCCAAGTGAGGGGATAGTACATTCCTCAGCAGCAAAGCAGAATACATCATCGTCCTGGGAATCTTCCCAAAACGTGCGCCGGGGGACACCGTCACATCAGAAGGAGAGGAATGAAAGAAGGCCAGAGTGTGTGGCAGGGAAGGGACGCTAAAGAGAGTTTCCCTACATGGCAAAATGTGCCTGGGTTATGCACAATTAGATTAACATGAAAGGGACTCCCTCTCCCTCCCCCACTCCCCAAAAAGGAAAGAAAAAGAAAACAACACAAAAACTCTAACCCACTGACGACATGGCAATGCCTTTGAAATGCATATTGGTCTACATGGAATTGGATTCAGGATTCTTTGTGTTTGGGTTCTTAGGCCTACAACTGACCTGCCATCAGAGAGGACTCAAAAATATTATCCTTTTAGCTAGTGTCACAATAACAGGATTTTAGTGTTGGGATGAACACAGTATATATCACGATCAAAAATGAATAACAGAAATTCTATTCCTTTCTTTCCTCAGAGGCTGAGTTAAGGGGAAGATTGTCCCAACAGCCACCAAATTGTACTTTTGTTGTTGGTGGTGAGTGATCGTGTTTAAATAAAAATATGTAGATGTGGACAAGAGAACATGCTGGGTCTCTAAAGAGACAGACTCACAATGCACATACACAGACACGCACAGACACACACGCAGTTGTGTTTTCATACCTGTTTCCGGGATGCGAAACACAGGGATCTAATTGAGTTTACGGCACAAAGGGAACTTCATGGCGAGGAAGCTAAGTCAGGTGGTAAAGGAATTAAACTTCACAATGAGATTTTGATACACAGATTATTGAAAAAATGCTAAAGAGCCTTTTCTAAGGGCTTTCACCGAACAGCAGCAAGGAAGAGTGTGTGTTCATGGTTCCGTGCTCTGCGCCAGCCCCGCCCAGCACTGAGCATCGCGTTGGGGTCCCAGCTATGGGTTCAAAGCCACGATGTGTTCACAGCAATGACAATGGCAGCTGTTCTCAAGGGGGGCGGGGTGGGGGCCTCAGATCTGAAGCCATCTGGCACTGCAATTGGCAGGAGCAGTGCAAAGGGAAATTATTGCTGCATAGCAAATTGGGAGATGGAAAAAGGCAGGAAAAGATGGAAAGGAGGTGGGGAGGTCCTGAGGTGAGGAATTAGCAGAGTAAAAAAATAAATGATCGATGTCTGCATAGCTGTGCATCAGCAGCAGAAGCAAAGAGTAGAACCATCAAACTGGCCTACTCAAGGTTGATGGAAAAACAAACATGGCGCACTCCACATTTGTCCACCCAGTAGATGTGACAAGGAGGTGAGAAGAAAAAAACCGAACTTGCTTAAGGTTTATGCCCAGGGCCTGTTAACAATCCATTGGCCTTTCTTTCATTTTACCAATGGAAAATGCAGACTCAAACACTTTCGAAAAACAGTTGTAAAGTTTACTCTATCTCAATACCTAAAGATAATATTTTGGATTATCTCTCCCTGCTTTCCCTCTCACCCTCTCTCAGATCTACTACAGAAGGAGTTGGCTCTCTGTTAAAGGAAAAAGCAGGCAGCACCAGATAGAAAACCACCCAGCCAGGATCCTGTGACTCTCACGGCCCCTGAGAGCTGTGACCCTGCGTGCCTGGCCTTCCTTCTGTGGCCACCACGACTCCAGTCATCATTCTTGGTGAATTCACAGCCACACTGGTGATTCATCAGCACACGGGTCTCTCTGGCCTGTGATTCCTTTCTCTCTTGCTCCGCATTCAACCTCAGTCACCTACTCCCCTGGTCGGTGGTACCTTAGGACTTGCCACTTTGACAGCACTCTGGTCAGAATCTCCATCCAAGCATCCAATTGTCTGAGCTTTCTCTCCTGTTCTTACAGCTTCCTTCCGCGAGAGCCCAACCCCAACAATTCTGCAGCCCTTTGGGGACATCTGTGCCATCCACTGACTCTATCTTTTCCCTGTCCCAGGAGTCCTCTCATGTCCTCACTTGCCTCGTTAAATTCCGTGATGCATTAATGTAATGACTTATAAAAAAGCATCCTTGAC